ATTTGAAAAGGGGGAAAAAAGTGGGGATATTCTTGTATATTAAAAAGTAGAAATTTTCAATGAGTAAATACAATTTACAATATTTTCACTAGTAAACTAAAATATTTTCGACCATTTTAAAGTCTTAAAATTTGCATGAAAGAAAAGAAAAAAAAACCTCAGAAAATTTCTGAGAAGATAAAAACAGACATTTGTGAGAAAAAATAAATAAATAAAAACACCAGAAGTTGTCAAGGATTTTAGATTTTCTAAAGTGTTAGTACATCTGGGCTACTTTCCTGAATCAAGATGACGTTTCCTGAGTGGATAAAATTAAGAATTTTGTTTCCTTACTTATTCCTAATTAGTAAGGATGTCCAGATTGTAAATGTATGCCTTCAATTGTGGAAAATTTTACCTGTTTCTCATAAATGTATTACTCTTAGACATTAAAGAATATTCCGTTTCTCTTTTTGTAAAATTACTCAAGAAATACCCCCTTTTTTTCAACAAATGACTCTTTTCAGATCAAAACCTTTGAACTAATTTAGTGTGTAGATGGGCCGCTAGATCTGACTATATTGGAAACATGTCTAACAAAACACAAGGGTTTTCAAAAAGATTTGAATGGCTCAATACAAAGGTTTCAAGCTGAATCTCAAACCCTGATGGAAGACACTCAGATGTGTACAAGTTGAGTCTAAAGCAGGAATTTGCAAAGGCATAATACAGGATGTGTGCCAAAGTAAGCATTATGAACTTTAAGTGTTCTCTGAAGTTTGGCAATTCGTTAAAACAGAATTGAAAAGAAGACCCTACCTAAAATATGACATAAGCCAACAGAATGTACTTCATTCTAACCTGCAGACGTGCCAGTATGGACGATTTCTTGGAGTTGGATGAATAGGAGCGTGAACAGGATAAGCTGCAAAAACGCTTTGATTTTGAAAAGAAGGTGCTGAAAGTGCCGGGCGTTCCACACATCTCACAAATCACTGCAAAGTGGAGAAAGTAATCAGAGCTTAGTTTTGTTTTTGTTTTTTTTGCAAAACATCTACAAATGTTATTTTCAAATATCTGTTCCTCACATGGTCCATCACTTCTTGCTTTTTCCCTCCTCATCACCCGTACTTTTGGCAAACATCCTTCTTTGCGAATGTTGTTTTCCTCATCCTCCTTTCCTTTGTGTTCTCCCTGTAAAGAAATAGAGCTGAGGTTTATGTTGAACCACTGAGAAAACCCCACAAATTGATCAGTTTATTTACACTATTCCTGCGCTCTGCTGTTTCTGCTGCGGAGGCGCGGCGCTGGATAGAAGGCAGGCACTGTTTGCAGCCCACTCCCCCGCAGGAGGAACAGTGTGGTCGGACGAACACTGTGGGAGCTGCTCCCGGCCTCAGCTTCAGTGTCCCTGAAGGCATCTTGTCCTCAAAGTACTCTTTGCCAAAGTGCTCGCTGCAGAGGTGAGAGAAGCTTGTGGCCACCCACTTCACGCGGGTTCTCTGAACCTGCTTTTCCCACTTGCGGAACTCATCTGGATCCTTTGGGAACCTAAACAAAGTCACCCCATCTTCGACAGTTTTACCACATCCATAGGCCACGCAGTGGTAAGGCATCTTAAAGATGGGTCCATCAGCTTCTCAGAGCTTCAAGCACAGGCCTGGGTACAGTGGTGGGTTTCTGGGTTTTTTCACATGTGAGCTGTTTCCAATGAACGAAAATTCATGCTACAAAAATCAATTTTCAAACGCAAGGGTCATATATCATGTAATCACAGCGAAAATGTAATTTTACAGACAAAACATTAATGAATTGGTTTTATAAACACTGTAAGCTAAGCTTTCATAAATAAATACTAAAACAACGAACTATCTTAGCTTTAGCAGCATTCTGCAGGCGCTTCACTCACACCGAACCAAAATGTGGCAAACTGTAAATCAAAGCTAGATGCTAACCGTATAAACACTTCCTCGTCTGTCCGTCAATAATACAACACGTCATTCGATATTACCTTCAATTACTACTTCCAGTATCTAGTAATGTCCATAAATTTGGTGTAAAGATGTGTAAAACTATAACATGCTAACACATGAGCTGTTCGACATCTTTAGAAGCACAATATCTGTACAGTAATGACAGCTTCTTCTTCTTCTTGTGACAGTTATTGGCGGTTGGCAAACAACTTAATGGTGCATTACTGCCACCAACCGGTAAGGATTGTATAGCAGAATTAACATGTTAGTACACCGAAGAAACTGCAAAATAAGTAAATAGCATTTCTTTCCCTCCAGCACTTCTGATAATTTAACTAAATTTAACTAAACAGTTATTATTGTTCGAGACAAACGGCAGATGTCTCAATACTGCCACCTGCTGTTACTTTAAGCTTTTTAGTAAATAATTGTGAAGTGGCAGAAAAGGATGCAACTGAAAATCTGAACAGCGTTACGTGAATTTGTATTTTTAACAGAAATTTTAAGTTTTTTAATGGGTAGTTTTATTAATATATTCTATCCTATATATTAATATGACAGAATATTAATATATTCTGCAGATATGTTCTCTCTCAGTAGAAGTCTGAGTACACTGTATCAGTCAGCCATGCCCCCACTGCCATTACTATCAATGTGGGATGATTGTGGCGACATTAGTAGGAGTACATCGTCTAATCGGTAGGCTGCCAGTTTGATTCTGTTGATGTGTCCTTTACCATTTACCATCAGTTGGCAACAATCAGTCTAAGTAATCTTTTCAGCCAAGATATATGGTTGTAATTACAATCACGTGAATCAGTCTAGAAGAAAGTATGGAACAGACTGTACGTTTTGAGGATGCTTTGTATCTTGCTGCTGAAGATATGCAGCAAGATAAATCCATTGCTCATCATCCATTGGGGTAGCAGCATCAGAGCCAGGGACTTAAAAAGGGTCAACAAGTTGACAAAGACAGATGGTTCTGTTCTGGGGACAACCGTCGATCTTCTGGAGACGATGCAGAAAAGGATTATTAATAAAATGAAGAATATTAGGGACAACCCTGAGCATCCTCTTTATGAGATTATATGACAACAGAGTGTCTTCGGTCAGAGGCTGCTTCATCGTCCCTGAGACACTGACTGCTTTAGGAGATCCTTCCACAGCCATCACCATATCCAATGACTCTTTGAGGAAACTTGACTAATGTGAGTTACAAAATCACTTAATTCCCCTTTGGGGTTAATAAAATATTTTAAATTTGAAGTTTGAAACTATGGGGCTTATAGACCTGTCTGACATTGTGAACAAACAATGCTGTTCAAGGCCAAAACATCATTCTGGTTCTTATTTAGGAAGAACTTGTTACATCAAGTTACAGTGCCATCACCTGTGTGGTTGCTGATATTCCCATAGGAAGTAAGATAACTGAGGTGTGTATGTAGATACAAGATTCTAAAAAAACATTCCCACACATGAAAAAATACCTGTTTAGTGGATGAAATGTACTCGCTGTTTCTCAGACACTGCTTATTTTGAATGGATAGCATTGATCAAATTCGATTACACAGGCAAAAATATGAAAAGTGTGGCAATTTGATATGATCTCACTTTTAATAAGTGCTCTTAAATATGTTTTTTTTTTTACATTATCTTGCAAACATAGCAAAAGTTAAATTTTTTATCATCATAACACATAACACACTCACATTCTGTTTTGGTGAAATGTGAGACAGTATTCTCATAACATCTTATTTTATTTGATGATATGAATCAATATATTGTAAACACATCCCTGTTGTAAAATATAACTGAGTGGGGGAATAAAGGCTATGAGATCAAGAGTAACTAGTATATATGTGGAATAACAACTGCTGCTTGAATTAAATTTTGAAATTTCAACTTTAAGAGTTGTTTTTTTATGCATAGCCAATTCTTGACATTAATATGGGTTGTTTCAATTTTATTTTGGAAGTTATGGCACCTATAAAATAAGAAAAAAATATTACTGAGGACTATGCATGAAAGGTTATAAGATACATCTTTGAAATAAATTATACATGAAATGTTTTACAAAAATATTCACTCTCATGGAATTCCTTCACATTTTGTTATGTTATAATCCCATGTTGATGTGACAGATCAACATAACTATTAATTCTAACTTAATGAGAAGATATATGAAGTCAAATTTCAGACAACAGAAAAAAAACATTAAGATGTCTCAAACAACTTAAGATTTTGCTGTATGTTCACTTTTCTACGACAGATGAATAATTGAAATCCAAGTATATTAATTTTTTCTAATGGCCCAGTCAAAGTTTAGTCTTAGTGTGCATCCCAAACAACGTTCAACAGTAATTGTGGTGAAAGGTGGCTATAGAATGAATTAACCAGGGGTAAATACAAATGCAAATTTCTATTAAAAAACGTAAATCAAATGAGCAGCAGACAATGGTTTTCAAGGCGGGAGGGGGAGGGGGGGTTATTGTGAAAAAAAAAAAAAAACGTATCCCTTTTCTTCCCAGTATAATTATGAACTAATTTGTGTTGCTGTATTGTTATAAAATTGCACCTCAAAACATTCCAATTGGTTGGAACAAAAATATGACTTAATTCAGTGGGTGTGAATACTTTGTGAAGGAACTGTGGACGACAGATTTGTAGAGTTGGAACATCATCTCAGGTGTTGTGGGCATAAAGTTTGCTTAATATCTCAGTCAAAACAAACAAACAAACAAAACAAAACAAAAAAGAAACAAACAAAAACACACACACACACACACACACACACATTAAACCAGTCAGCTTTTGTCAAAGATAACTGGTGAGTGGAATAATTCAAATCTCTTTGCATATGGTTATTTAAAAAGGAGGATATGCAAGTTTGTTTCTGCGTTAGTAGACTTTTTTTATTTACCTGTAACAACTACGGCGAAAATATTATTGAAAATACTTTTGTCCATTACTGCTGCACATTTGTCAATTTTATACATTTGATTTGCATCCCATCATCCTCACCCGCTGCCACCAGCAGCCACACCACCGTCACTTCGCAGCCAAGCGAGCCTTTCTGCCCGACATTATCTTCATCCTGACTCCGCAGGAAAGGAGGCTGAAATGACGGATGCAACCATGGAGGCGACACCCGGGGACGGTTTATTTACACCAGAAGAGCCGCTTTAAGTTTACTAGAGGGAAGCAGATGCGTGTGTCCCCCTCTTTACTTTCACGGACCCCCTCCTCCTCCGCTGGCAGAAATTTATAAAGAACAAAAAATCCGACGAGGGAGGGGAGGGGGGTTGATATGCGCCGAGGCTGAAATCGAGAGGCGAACCCAGGGAAAGCGGAGTAATTTGTACACGGGACTTTCCCCCTCTTAGTACCCCAAACGGAGGGGGAAAAGTCGCAATATTGGCAACGAGAAGGAATGGGCTTCTAAAGGCGTGAAAACGTCTGCAATTGTGGATACTTTATATATTTTTATTTCGAAAAAATATGGCCGAGAACGTTCTGGACTCTGGCCCGCCTTCAGCCAAGAGGCCTAAACTCTCCTCTCCGGCACTTTCCGCCTCCGCCAGCGATGGAAATGGTAAGTTTTGATTTAACCTATCCACAGCTGCCGTGATATTGGTTTACATAAATGGTTTTCGGCGGCGTTTGGGACTGAAAGAGGACGGCGAGGCGGCATTATTTGGCTGTTTTTGTCGCGGCTCGCTAACGTTAGCTTGCTATGAGAGTGTGTGTGTCGGACGTGAGGAAGGGCTCCCCTGTTAGCTCCCGTGCTAACAGCCATTTTAGCCGGAGGAAGCTGCGTTAGCCACGGGGCTAACTCCAAGCTCTGTACGGCTCCACAGCTGACGATGTCGTGCCTAATGGCTACTTCGCTTTGGTTGATTAAAAGCTCTGTCCCAGGGGAACTTATGCTAAAGTTTTGGGAGCTTTATCATTGTGTCACATAGGCACTTGTCTGGATAGACTGATATATTATACAAGGCATTATTAAAGGCTCTGCTATCTGTCTCACCTATGATGAGATGTCGTTGAAAATGTTAGAATGTGAAAGCAGAGTGTTTAAAATGGGACTTCTCGGTGTATGAGATGTAAATTTGGGCTACAGTTGTTAAGCTAAAATTGTCATTTTTATCCTGCTTTTTTTATTATTACTAATTGGTTGATGGTTTGTGACAACAACTGGAATAATGGTCTAGGAGAAATCTAGATCGCCATGCTTCAAACATTACTCAAATTCAAGGATAGTTGTTAACAATAAACAGTTTGTGATTATTATATTTTTTTTTACTTTAGCCCTTTCTAACAAGATCAGGCACGATTGTCACCAACTTGTCTTCAGGTTGACAGGTTATCCATCCAGAATGCTTCACACATGTCACGCAGCTCTCTCCGGTATTTTGTGAAGGAACTACAGAGTCTTCAAGAAAATCTTAAGGTTGCAAGGATGCGATATATTGTTCCTGCTCTACGTGACAGTGGCATGCAGTACAGCGGCTTGCACAAATCAATTTACAACCGTACGCTTTTTATGGGAAAGGCCAATAACAAAGTAGCGCATAGCGGTGAAACGCAAAGCAAACAGTGCATTAGTTATGTTTTATTTAATATATTAAGCTGAAGAGTGTGGTCATCTTTACTCAAATACCCCAATATAAAATCCAGTGCAGCTGGTTTCCTTTACACAAAACAGGGTTAGCAAAATTCAGGACAATCCTGGGAGAAAACTAAGGATGCACTGATCTACTTTTTATTTTTATTTTTTACTTCCAATACCAATACCGATATCTGAGGTTTAGTATTGGCCGATACCAATTTGATTCAGAAAAACAGTGCTGAATTGATTTTTTATTTCTTCTTAAACACAGACACAAATGTACTTAATTAGACATTTATTTGATAACTCTGCTTCACTACATCACACTTAGACACACCAGCATCTTCACAAGCTTTGTCAAACATGCAAAAACAACTTTAATTAGTTCGGTCAGTACAGTTAGGATACAACCAGAGCTACGATGTAATGATTTAGGTCATAACATAACTTTGCGTTTAAACGTCTAAGTCAAAGTTCAGACTGGGACTCAAATCAGTTGAGAATATACTTGGAAAAAGTGCTGCTAAGACATTGAGCTGAGAACTATTCTGGGGTGGATTTATATTTTTTTTTACCTGTCTATTATCACACTGACTCTAATCTTACAGACGGAGTTGTGACGAAATGATTTGGATTAAAATGTATTATTGTATTAGAATGGCCCAGTTAAAGACAACTGAGAATTTGTGGCAAGACTTGGAAGGAATGCTTGAAGAGACGGTCTCAGTCCTTTCTGACTCAGCTTGAGTCTATTTTGCAAAGAAGAATGGTGAAAAGTTTCTGTCTGATGTGAAAGTGGTGGAGCCAAAGCCCAAAACATTAGCATCTGCAACTGCAGATGACTGCAAATGCATGCCATACTTTTCTGATTTTTATTTTTAAAAGTCACAAAGCTATTATTTTCTTTCTCTCTTACTTTTGTGCACTAATGCGTCATTTAAAATAAATTTCACCAAACGCATGTTGCTATTTGTGGTTCTAAAGTAACAAAATATGTAGATTGAATACTTTTGCAATAACTACATTGAAGTGTGCAGTCTAGAGCACACTTCAGTGTAGTGTGCTCTAGACACTAGATTGTGTCTAGAAAATGTAAATTGCAAAAAAATACAACATTTTTTACATCTAAATTTCACTTTGATTTTTGATTTCTTTCTTGGAAGGTGAGGTGTGTGCTGTCATGGTTACATGGCCTTTTACATCTGCAGAAATCATGAACAAAATTCAGATAATCCTTTAAATAAGAACACTAATTTATTGTCATCAGTTGTTTTTTTGACAAAAGTGATTTTTTTTTTGTTGAAATAAAAAAAAGAAATGTGACAAAAGGCTAGTTAAAAATCTCCACAATCTTTATTTCCAAAAGATGTTCAGACAAAAAAAAAAAACTTTTGTCAAAATGACTTCAGAGTATTTGACAAAGGTCTACCTTTGTCAAATACTCTGACAAAGTTTACCTTCTTAACAAAAATATTACAAAATTGAGTTTTGTGTAGAAATTGGTGTTGCACGTCATTCTTAGCTTCTAGAAACTTGACGGGTGTTAAGAAACAGCAAAGAGCTGGATTTGCAAAGACTCTCATCAGTTTTCATATGTTTTCACTCCCTGTGAGAACTCATTTAAAATCTGCACAGTAATGAAATTAAAATTGCATTTTCATTTCCTACGATTCTTGTTTTGAGAAAAAGTGGGTTTGTACATACTGTCCATTGGGCATCTGATAGTAATGAAGGATGTTTAACTGCTTTATTAAGCTTGTTTTAATTTATTGTGTGATTCATTAATTTTTTGCTTATTGCGACAGGCCTAATCGGTACATCAGAAGTTGTGTTTGTGTTTATTCCTGAATGAATATGATTTATTAATTTTGTCTTAATGGTTTACTGCATTTTTCACTTAATCATTCTGGAAATTGGACTATTTATTATATCTTAGCATGACTGTGTTGATTTTTTTTTCTTTTTCTTTTTTTGCGTTTTAATAATGTCATCCAAA